GCCGGAGAAGGTAGAGGTGGCCGAGCCGGAGAAAGTAGAGGTGGCCGAGCCGGAGAAGGTAGAGGTGGCGGAGCCGGAGAAAGTAGAGGTGGCCGGTCGTGGTGACGTAGAACTGACGAGCGAAGGTGATTCTGTTGTTGACAACATTCAGGTTGATGTTGGGGGGTCGGGAGACAAGGGAGATGAAAAGGTTGAGAGAGAAGAAGTCCCGCTTGAATCAGTTGGTGGTTTTACTGAAATGAGTTCTGGGGAAGTTGCAGTTCAGAATACGGCTGATGCCATTGAGGAAAAGCCACTTCAACCCGAACATGTTGTGGTTGCTGGTGAAAAGGGTGAAGATTTAGGTGTAGAGGGCCAGTCCTCTGTCGAAAATAATGATTCCATTGAAAGAGGTACAGTTATGGATGCTGAGGACAGCCAAAAGAAACCGGAGGTGGCTTCTGAAGGTACAAAGAGTGAAATTGAGGCAGATATATTATCTGAAACAGCAAAACCCAAAGGAATCCATGAAGGTGAAGATGGGAGGAGCCACCCAGATGACTCCATGTCGGACGAGGACACAGATGACATGATCTTCGGGAGCTCTGATGCAGCCAGAAAGTTCATAGAGGAGCTGGAGCAGGAATCCCATGCGCTTGCAAATAGCTCACACGAGCTTGCACGTGAAATCGATGGCCAGATTGTCACGGATTCTGAGGAAGAAGAAGACGAGACGGACGATGACGAGGGAGATGGGAAGGAGCTGTTGGACTCTGCTGCCTTAGCGTCGCTTTTGAAGGCGGTCACTGGCAGCGATGCAAATGGCGGCAGTGTCACCATCACCTCTCAGGACGGGTCAAGGCTCTTCTCGGTCGAGCGCCCGGCTGGCCTCGGGTCTTCCCTTCAGTCCCTCAGGCCTGGCCCACGGACGAATCTGAACCGCCCTTCCCTTTTCAGCAACCTGACTCCTTCATTCGGGGGCAGAGAATATGAGGAGAATCTGAGTGAGGAGGAGAAGAAAAAGCTGGAGAAGCTGCAGCAAATCAGGGTGAAGTTTTTGAGGCTTGTTCATCGGCTCGGCCTCTCGCCGGATGAGTCAGTGGCTGGGCAGGTCTTGTACAGGCTGGCTCTCCTAGGCGGGAGACAGAACACTCCGAGTTTCAGCTTGGACGATGCAAAGAGGATGGCCATGAAGCTCGAGATGGAACAAAGGGACGACTTGGACTTCTCGGTGAACATGCTGGTTCTCGGGAAAGACGGTGTGGGGAAAAGTGCCACTATAAATTCCATATTCGGTGAGGAGAAGACCACAATCGATGCTTTTGAGGCCGGAACAGATTCTGTGAAGGAGATTTCCGGGCTTATTGATGGAGTCAAGGTTTGTATTGTGGACACGCCAGGTCTCAAGCGGTCGGTGCTGGAACAGGGTCACAACCGCAGTATTTTGTCCTCTGTAAAGAAGTTCACCAATAAAACACCGGCCGATGTTGTCCTTTACGTGGACCGACTGGACTCACAATCGAGGGATCTTAATGATTTGCCTCTGTTGAAAACCATCAATAGCGTTCTTGGCTCGTCCATATGGCGAAGTGCCGTAATTGCCCTCACTCATTCGGCCTCGGCACCCCCAGATGGGCCGTCCGGTGCCCCCTTGAGCTACGAGGTATTTGTTTCCCAAAGGTCCCATGTTGTCCAACAGTCGATCGGCCAGTCTGTGGGTGATTTACGGATGATGGTCCCGAGCCTCACAAACCCTGTCTCCCTAGTTGAGAACCACCCGTCTTGCCGGAAAAATCGTGACGGCCACAAGATACTTCCGAACGGTCAGGTCTGGAGGCCCCAGCTGCTGCTTTTATGCTACTCGATGAAAATCCTTTCCGAGGCAAATTCAATCTCTAAACCCCAAGACCTGTTTGACCACCGCAAGCTGTTCGGTTTTCGGGCCCGCTCCCCACCTCTCCCTTACATGCTATCATCCATGCTACAGTCCCGCTCGCACCCAAAGCTTCCATCGGAACTCGGTGGAGATAATGCGGATTCTGATATCGACTTGGATGACTTCTCCGACTCGGACCACGAAGGTGGGGAAGAAGATGAGTACGATCAGCTCCCGCCTTTCAAGCCTCTCAGAAAGGCCCAAATTGCAAAACTGAGCAAGGAGCAGAGGATTGCTTATTTTGAAGAGTACGATTACCGTGTGAAGCTTCTGCAAAAGAAGCAGTGGAAGGAGGAGCTGAGAAGGATGAGAGAATTCAAGAAAAGGGGAGGCCGTGCTAACGATTATAACCTGGCTGCTGATAATGACGACGAGGCCGATTCTGGGTCGGCTGCCCCAGTTGCAGTCCCTCTCCCCGACATGGCTTTGCCACCCTCGTTCGACGGGGACAATCCGGCCTATCGATATCGTTTTCTCGAGCCGACCTCACAATTCCTGGCCCGACCCGTACTCGACACGCACGGGTGGGACCACGATTGCGGCTATGACGGTGTTAATGTCGAGCACAACCTAGCGATCCTCAACCGCTTTCCCGCCACGTACACTTTCCAGATAACCAAAGACAAAAAGGACTTCACGGTCAGCCTCGACTCGTCGATTGCCAAGAGACTCGGCGAGAACGTCTCGACTTTGGCGGGATTCGATGTCCAGAGCATGGGGAAGCAGCTGGCGTACATCTTTCGCGGGGAGACCAAGATCAAGAAGCTGAAGAGGAACAAGGTTACTGGTGGAGTCTCGTTTACTGTCCTGGGTGAGAATGTGGTGCCCGCATTTAAAATCGAGGATCAAATCACGTTCGCCAAACGGCACACACTGGTGGGGAGCGCGGGAGTTGTTCGGTCGAAGCACGAATCGGCTTATGGGGCCAATTTCGAGCTGCAGTCAAGAGATGATGATTACCCGATTGGGCAGGTTCGGTCGACTTTGAGCCTGTCTATGGTCAAATGGAGGGGTGACCTGGCGTTGGGGCTCAACGGGCTGGTGCAGTTAGGGCTTGGGAGGAATTCGAAGGTGACGGTCAAGGCTGGGATAAATAACAAGATGAGTGGGCAGGTGAGTTTAAGGACGAGCAGCACAGACCACCTCTCGCTTGCGCTGGCTGCTGTTATCCCAACCGTGCTTTCTGTTTACAGGAAGCTTTTCTCTGCTGAGGTGGAGAAGTACTCGATTTATTAGACTTTTGTTTTTTAATATTTTGATTTAAACAGTGTTTTAATTCATAAGGAAGCACAAGCACCCATGCGAGACGATAAAGTTTTTTTCTGGTTTGCTTCTTCTGGAATAATAAGTTTTGTTGTTTTGATTTGTTAGATGGCTATGTGAACTTCTTTGCATTTTTGCTCGTTTTTCACCAGTTGATGTTTTTGTGTTGTTGTTTGTTTTTTGTTGT